CTATCTCTTATTACCTCGAGTACATTTTTATTCCTCGTTATCTGCATGTGTTACCTTATAGTATAAGGGCTAACTGATATCTTGAATTATATTCATTCTCCACATTACACTGCCTTATATTAAATTTTTCATAATTCATTGATTATGAGCAGGCCTGCTGATTGTAAGTGCATAAACAGTGTAAGTGATGAGCAACGAGATTGCTTTTGCAAGTGAGAAATGTGTTCAGATTAGAGCGTTGTAATGAACCTTCAATGATGTGACACGCATCGCCATTTCGAATGGTAGAAATGAAAAGTTTCGAGCAGAAACCGGATGTTTTTGGTTGTTGAAAACACACCATCGTTTCCTGTTTGGTGATTGATTAGGAAAGCCGAATAGTACATTTGAGTGAATCATTAACCAAGTGGTATCGTTCGAAATTTTGATGTTGATGAGAGCGATTCATTTCAACAGTAAAGGTGCACTTTACTGGAATGTTAGATGGAATTTCGATTCAGGGCAGATTTGTTCGTATCCGAAATGGCTAATAGGGAGTTTTTGAGATTTGGGAAGTTAATGACTGACTATGAAATCGTTTCCACCTATGTCAGGCTTGAATGTGAGCGATTTTTCAGCTATTACATGCTGCGATCATTGCGTATTCGTGTACCCCCACAAGTGGCACAACTAATCACTGCCGCTCAAATAGTACAGGTGGGTCGGAGAACCTGAATTTTATTGTACTTTATCAGCCGTGCTGATCACTGAATTAATGATCTGCACTCACAATACATGACTATATTCTGACTAATTACAGTTCTTGATAACACAAGCAGTGATGGCTTATCTGGCCGTATTGTGGTATTCAGCGAAAGGCTCGACCAGATACGACGTAACTCCGTATGCATTCGCGCTCGGAGTGTTCATGGAAGTGACGTATACCATTTTGTGGTTCAGATTCTATTATGTTTCGTACATTGCGAACGGAGGCAAAAAGTACAAAGAGCATCTGAAAGCTGAAAAGACGATCAAAAGCAATTGATTAATAACAATTCAAACTCTCATCTCAATCTGATAGTTCTCCTCTGTTCATACTCATTTCTTTCAATAAGGAGTAACTTCTTATTAACCGAAATATCTAGACATTTGTCAATTAATATCAAACAAATATCACTTATGGTTAATTTCACTTGTTATTCTCAAATCATCATGTAATTTTGAAATGTCGTCTCTCTTCTCATGATTACCTGGAAACCGTGAACTGATTCATCGATACATTTTGGAATTCATGAAAATTGCTGTCATTGATTAATGACTACTCATATTCAATCATTACCAGTGTCCTATCAGAGAATATCACTGAAAAGCTCCACCGATCTTTTCGAATAAATGATTGATGTTATAAGAAAACATCGAATTATAAAAATTTAATCCATTTTTTTCACAAATTTAGACGATAGCAATCAGCTTTGTTATTCATTTAAACAAACAATGAAGTAACAATATCATAACAATGTCATGAAACGATGCGAAACATCTCACAGTTGATAAATTTTTCAAATTTTCAAAATGTCACACAGTTAATAAATTAATAAATGCCAAAAAATGCACAAAATCCGAACTGTGGCATTCAATGATAATGTTGTCGAGTTCAATCGAAGGAAAGGTATCACAACATATTTGGTATTAACAATTCAATGATATTTCTTCGCTTACACATCTGTTGATAATACAATAAATAGGTAATAAACTGATTGATGATAAAACAATAAAGCATTCTTGAATGGTTAATACATTTCGCGTTTCTTCTTTACAGTGACATCACTGGCTATATTGGCAAGGATATCACAAATAAGAATGGCAATATGTGTATTGCATCGAAACACATTTCACAACTTCTAACAAGAAACAAACAAGACTCGAAAACATTCTAGACTTTCGTCTAGCTGAAGTCCACCATTATCCGAGAACCTAATCGTGAGCGAAGATACGACCACATAACATACCTCTCCAAGTTTTATTAATATTCAGAGATGACAACATAGTTGTGACAAAATAACAATCTAAAAGGTAGCAATACTTTAAATAATATAGCACATATTGAAAATCTTTATATCTGCTAATACACAATACTAATTGAACCGGACTTGATTTGTGATGACATTTGTTGACATCAAGATTGATTCGTTCCATTGCCTAGTTCTTTACGAGAAGAAGTATCTTTTGAATCTTGGGTGAATACATCTTCTGAATCTTGACTGTCTGCGTAGTCAACGTAGTGATAATAGAATGCTGCTTGAAGAGCGAATATGCATATAACAACCAACATGACGGCTGCATACACCAGCATTTCGATTGCCTTCAAAATATCAATGAGTCATGATTGGTTCAGTTTTACCTTTGTTGTTGAGGAGATATAATATTTTGAATGGCTGCAGAAAACTTATGAAACATCGTAAAAACTGGCATTTTTGAGATGAACAGAAAATTTTACACGAGAAACTGTACCAAATTATTGAACAGCTGAAGCAATTCAATGATAATAATGATCAAATCGCCGGCTGCCACTGTCATCAGCCAGATTGCCTGAACCACTGACTTCATTGTCGGTGGAGCCTGAAGTTTAAGATTTAGATGTGAAAAGAGGTGAGATAGCATGAAAGCGTACTCTTTAATAAAGTATAGAGCATGAATTCTTCAAAGGACTATTCAAAATTGTTTCCTTGAATAATGTTCACTGCTCAGTCGAACCTCGAATATGTCCGCCTTATTTCATAGGTTATTCGCACGTTATTATATCTTACCTGTGAGTAAGCGAATTCAAGTCCAGTGATCGAGATCAATATTTCGGCAGCCGTAATTACAACATATTGCGGAATTTGCCATAAAATATTCATCTCATTTGCAGGTATAAGTGTGTTCATATTCCATTCGAGAGCCTTGAAGTCATCAAATAACTATGTTTTCTTGATGACATACTTGAAATTCGAAAATAGCTAGAGTAAGTGTTTGAGAAGTTGTGAGATGATCTACAGTTTCGTATTTGATCGAAATCAATTAATAAGATTATGCCATGAAGATCATTGTACTGATATTGGCTGGCTGACAATGAAATATTAAGATGATAGGTAAGCAAACCTTTGGATTAGAAGAATTGGTCTGAATTGTCAATGAATACATTGCTCCGATACCAATAACCTGTACGGTGACACCATCCAAGGGTATATAATAGAACTGATGAATCAAGTCACGATCGGTAGTATCCGTATATTTATGTGCGATGTAGAAGACATCAAACCTGAGAGGATATGCGAATGTTGAATTCATTTAATATGAACTGATAAATAAAAGGAATACTAGATGATCTGATCACCCTAATCAATCACTTCCAAACAAACATACGTTCCAACATCGATATCTTTGAATGTGTAGAAGACAGCAGTCTTATTTTCATTTACTCTCCCATACGGCCAACCGAATACAGCTCTAGAACATGCAGTTTTAAGATCGAAAAATGAAAGGATCCGTCAATTTCTCTAATCGGAAATCCTCAATTGTGGAACGAAATTTTGGAAGATTACTTACGTTCTATCATGAGCATCACATATGGGTTTTCCATGCGTGTTATGCTTGCATAAAGCTAAGCCTTTGGAGTATACTGGACAATCGGTGCTGATATTCGAACAGTTCGCCCAAAAAACGGATTTTGGTAGTGCTTCATAGGGCACCATCAAATTAACACTGAAAATAGATGATATGAGATCAACGATCTCGTCGCTCTTTTGAACAGTTTATGTTGAGGTTTACCACTGATTCGTGAGTTTAACTTGCAATTCGAACTCGATCTATCTAAATTAGGTTTTAATTTCCTTGATAAATTTGAGATTATGAGATGACCAAAGCATTGTCTCGATCGTACAAAATCTCGACAATAAGAATGCGCAAAGTGATTTTTTCTGAAGGTGAAACCAACTTGAGTAATGACTGTTCTTGACCAGTTTTTGGCTTCTCCAGTTTTATAGGATTGTAAGTGAAGCCATGTCGAGTTAATATACCTTGGTAGGCCTGCCCACCTAAACTTCAGATTGCAAAGGACACGTTGGGAATTTTCAGAGACATTCGATTCAACTTCTTCAACCATCAGACAATCTTTTATCTGATTTTGGTTCAATTAAAACCATATGAGAAGAGGCTAAAAGCATACCTTTGAGATTCATGGAGAATTTGGTTGGTATATCAGTGCATGGCTTTCTGAAAAATGAGGAAAATTACCGGAGTTTTCTGGTTAATCCATTTTTCAGGAAGTCTATATGATCATTGCTATATGATTATGTCTATATGATTATTGCTACAAAGCAGTGCAATATAGGTTATTAAATAATAACCAGAAGACGGTTATAATACGGTTGAATCAAGAGGATACTCAAAGGCTGTAAATCCACTGAAATTTGAAGTTGTACATAAAATATCTTGTGAAAAATCAATTGGTGGGATAGTTTCTTTCCCAAGGATGTTTACTGCTTCAACGTTGAAATGGCTTACTGAGGCGTAACCGTGAATGTGATCTGTCGGTTACGGCTCCCAACGTTGATTCTATAAGCTTGATGTAGACCAATAACTTCATCGTCTACCAAAGACTGAAACAAAATCACGCAATTTCAGAATGTCCGACAATAAACGAAGGATTCTGATACTTCTATAAAATTAGCGTTCTACTAAAAACTGCATTGAAATGAAGTGGAATAGTAGTGAAGTGGTTCATTAATGATTTAAAAAATTAGGGTATTAAAGCAAACTGACACTATTGAAAGGAATTGTTTTCGTAGGAAGATCTGGCGAAGACAAAGTCAAATTACATCGATCGTAGACGTTCGAGAACGAAACGAAAGCGACGTTGGCTGAAGGAGGGTCGGGAAGAGTGTACTGAAGTGCAGAGAGAATTCAGTTGGCCACAAGCAAAAGATACTTTCAAGAAACTCTGAGCACTTCAATAGGTAACATTTGATAACGTATCTAAAGTGGTCGATATTAATGTTAGCACACCTCACAGGTGCAATGAATTATAATCTGGTAGTTACAGAGCATTCAGTGATCTTTACCAGTTGGATATCAGACTTACATTGACTCGAAATTGTACTAAAGCGGCTATAACGAAAGCCAACGCTGCCACAACCCCTCCAGCAACCATTCTTCGTAAAGGACTGTAATTTGGATTCAATATTAGGGAATGATGCGTAGAACAGGATGTTTGAATTACTTCCAATGGTTTGATATCGCGAACGTCTTCGAAATGTCATAAAATCTCTTATTTGATGCACATGTTGTGCTACAAGACGATTTGAACTATTGTGCTTGATCATTCAGCAGATGAGAGATGGAATATCACAGCTCTGCTATTTTCACTTTTCATCAATAATCTTATTGATTACATTAATTAAGCAGCATTTCTTATTCACTTACGTTGTCCTGATTCCACATTTTTCAACCGCTGGATAGACAAGGAACTGAAATTTGTGCGTTGAAATGTTAAATCTATGGAAAATGATCGATGTATCAAAAGTGATAAGGTCGAAGCTAAAAGACTGGATCTCGCACTGAGTTTTATAGGTGAATAAGCGTTTAAGAAAAACTTCATAACGAAGTTTATGAAATGCATGAAATGACACACTTGGAAAATAGGGATGAAAAACATAATGAGGATCGCGTTGACAACGCTCATTTGGTCTGGTAGTAGGAGGTAGTTCGAAGAGATACGCGAATCCATTGAGACTGCTTGTAAGACCCATTTGGAACCCTGAAATCTCGTTCGTAACCTAACATTCACATTGTGCATTCGTTCTCAATTAGGGGCGAATGTGTGCGTATCAATTGGATAAGGGGAAGCTTGTAAATTTTGACGATTTCGAGAATTCAGTGCGATTTTACATGTTTGAAGTTGTCCAATGTGCAAAGTGTATACCTGTTGATCGTAAAGAGCCCAGAACATTGGAATCGGTAACAACATTACAGTAACTCTCAGCAGAGCTTTAACATCTTCAACGAAAACTCTCTGAAGATAGTTACATCAAAATTGATTGAACTGATCGTTACGATCTGCGGATAATTCATTTCTTTATGATGATGATCATTCATTTGGATTTTAAAAATAGCATGATTTGATTCGTATATGGAGCTTGGAAGATTTCAGAGTACGGTGCTCAAAAAGCGCAAGGAAACAGTTTATTTTGATCTGTACGTATGGTTTCATTCATGGAATTGGCTGTGAGGTTGGGGATTCAACCAGGACTGGAGTGAAAAAACAGTAAGCAACCTGAGCACATGTTTCGTTCAGTGATTTTTTCTCACCGATCTCAAGACACATGCTATTTGTGGTGCAATTATGCCCGTCCAGTGCATGATCTAGCCAATGTTCACGATATTCGGCAGATTTCACTTTATTTCTCAAAGAGGTCTGAAATTTTGAAAACGCTCAAGGTTGAGAATATTGTGTGGGTAAAAACATCTTAGGTTTGCTAAGGTCTTTAGGATTAGAGACAATGATTGTGATAACGTACAATGATAACTTTGGTAACTCTGGCTATAACATTCTCTTTTGGAGGATACTTTTTGTAGGATCTCGAGCCGAGCACAAAAATAATCGTTGCGAGAATCATCAAGCCCGCAGGCACACCGAATGCCAACGGGTAGCAACTGTCCTGATCGTGACACGGAATCGCTGAAAGTTGTTCGTTNTAATTCGGTGTTGAATTTCACGGAAACACCGTGATTAAACGTCAAATTTAAGAGCGAATTGAGAATTTCTTATATAGTTTCAAGATACTGCAGGTGGCATGTTTGCGTAGATTTCAATGTTGACATCGAATAAGCTTGGGAGATTTGCGATTGTTTGGTCAGTATTATGAAAACTTAGAATGAATTAATTTGATTCGTGATGAATCATGTGGTTTTGCACTGTATGATGGGCCAGGTTGATAGAAAACTCATTCACAGATCATAACTATTCGAATCGTGTGCATGAGTTAAATCGGGCTTGAACAAGTCACTTTATTGGATTATTGATAAGAGATCAAGGCGATTTAGGCTCGGTTTCTGATTGCGAGATGCGGATGGAGAACCTAATTCTAAGATTGTTTTTTTCATTTAACATTATCATTAATGTTGAAGATGGTGTTTGTAGTGAAGGGATTTTAAATTTGAAAAAAAAAACACTGCCGAATATTTGTATTCTAATAAGCCTCTCAAGTGCTTGCAGGTATTCGTATCATTCCGTATCACTAGCTTATTATTATTATTGTCATTGTCAAATTCTCAACATGTTATCAATGAAATGACTCGTCGTTTATTTACAAAACGATACAACTGCATTCCATCATACTCGCTATTGTTACGTCACTTCCCAGTTCATCTTATAGTGATCTGATGATAACAGAAGTAAAATGATATTGTGTCGCTGATAAATATCGTACTATGTTCACGTAATCTTCAAAATGATCAAGATTCTTGCTTTATGAACACTTTCTAGAGTTTATCAATTTGTTCAAAACCCTCTTCATAGTTCATGGGCTGTGTGAGTATTGTACCGATTCTCATGTTAATCCATTTTTGGCGGATCAAAAATAGTGCAAAA